TTCTCTTTCAAGATTCTAATGCCACTAATCACAAACATTTAATTTCTCCTTACAGGAAAATAACAGTAACACATCAAAATGTGCTCACAATTGTGAAAACACATAGCAGCCACGGATGTTGAAGACAGTGAAAGATGATGGGTTGTAGAAATAAGTTCTGAGCAAATTGTTTAATAAGAAAACAGGGACTCTTTTAGAACATCATTGCAAGTGAATCCAACCCATCTTTCAACATTTGCACAGAACGTGCTGGGGGGACTTGAAGAAAACATCCACTTAGCAAGACATAGGTCATTATTTAACAGACTGTATGAATGAAGAAAGCTGAATATACCACCTGGTTAAACTACGTTTTCATTTTAAGGTAAGAGGTCCTTGATACCTTTCCCAAGAACACATTGAAACAATCTAAAATCATTTCCTGGTACCAAAAATGTTGTCAAGAAATAATAAACAGTATAATGCATGCAGACCTCCATCTAAACTATACAAAATTTACTTTATTGAGAAACTATTCTGAAATGTTTTTAAAAATCTAATGAATATTGGGTCAAAGGGGAAAAAAATTGAAAATCTAACATATTAGAAAAGAATGAAGTATGCTGATTATAGGATGCCATTAAGGCTTATTTTGAAAGTAATTTTTATATAAATGGAAAAACAAATAGAATAAACTGAAATTTATCTCAAGCTGAAAAAAAAATCAATGAAATGAAGAGCCGCGACAAAAAAGGAAAATCCATTTTAAACAAAAAGAAAGCCACTTTCAACGTTCTTTAGAGGAAGCACCACAAAGTAACAGACTCAGCTGTTTCTGGTTTTTTTTTTCTGCTCTCTTTCACGCCTCCACTTCCCACTCCCTCCTCTGTTCTCTCCCCTTCTTCCTTCTATCCCCTGCTCTCTATTTTGCTGTCCTTCATCTCTGGGGAGATACAGATTTTCTGAAAATTTCTCCAGTTGCTTTTCTCCCTCATCTACTTTCTCAGCTTCTTTCACTCTTTCCAAAGCCCTCACCCTTACTTCACTTTGACACATGTTTATGAGTCTCCCTCATTCTTCCTTTCTCTTTCCAGTTATTTCATTTCTCTCACTTTCTCTTTCTCCTGATCTCCTGTGCCCACACATTCACAGAGAGGAGGATGGAATCAGACGCCCGCCTCGCAGGAGAGCACCTCTTCCAATTGGGACAATTTGAGGTGGAAGAACTTGGAATGTGACCAGAGGCCCCGTCACCTCTCTTAACTCGGGTTAGGGGAAGCGGAGACTGTGAAGAGGCGGCCTGGAGAGCGGGACTCGGCCCAAGGAAGACCGAGCAGGGGGTACAGGAGTAAGTCTGCAAAATCCCAGGAGCAGGGAAAGGATAGCACCTCTCCTTAGCCCAGGCTGCGGCGCTGCCCTCCAAGGGCGGACAAAAGCGGTGCTTGGAGCATACGACAGATCCGAACCTACCTTGCAGGTGAGTTCTTTAAAGGACGAGGGGCGGACGGAAAAGTCACTAAAGCGTATAAGCAGAAAAACTGCGCGAACGACTTTCTCCAGGGCCCCGGAGGCTAAATACAGGGAGGCAGAGACCACCTGCAGGGACACTTTAAACCCCAAAGAGGCAACTCCCTGGACCCCGTGGGGACGTCAGAATCTACCTGAAGTGGAAGTACGCGGATTCCAAGTCCTGCAGTGACCTCAGATCCCAGCTACGGAAGTGCTGAGGGTACTAAGAAGCGAAGACCTAATACAGAAAGGCTCAAACTCACGCGCCGCAAACCGACTTCGCTACACGAGATCAGCTTCCGGGTCTGAGAGAAGCTGCGCGCGCAGAAGAGAGGCCAGGCCGGGGCGGAGCCCGCGTGCAGTGGGTGGGTCAAAGGCGGGGCTCTGGGAGGAGCGGCAGGGAAGGGGTCTTCACAACCCTCTGTTCCTGCGGTAGCTCTCTTTTCTGGGTTTTGGAGGTGACACCAGTCAATGAGGCTGGACTCAGAGAGCTCTCTAGGAACTGGGACCTCTCTGAGGGAGTCGACGTGAGGTAGTGATTGGATCCAATAAAGTTCTTACCGTGAAAGTTAATTTTAAGCCAGGTGTGGTGGCTCACCCCTGTAATCCTAGCGCTTGGGAAGGCTCTAGAGGAAGCTCGGAGGTTCAAGACCAGCCTGAGTAAGAGCGAGACCTCGTCTCTATTAAAATAGAAAAAGTAGCCGTGCGTAGCGGTAGGTGCATGTAGTCCCAGGTACTTGGGAGGCCGACATAGGAAGATCACTTAAGCC